TTGGCTCTGCCTTCCCCACTTGCCTGAAATCTGCCTGAGGCCAGGCCTTTGTCTTGGATTCCTGTGTTTCCGTGGTCTGGCCTCGTGCATGGCATATTGTAGGTGCTCCATGATGTTTGTGGGATGCGTGTAGGAAGTACAGAAGATACTGGGCATGAAGTAGGCAGGTCCGTACTCTTGGGGAGCTCACCTTGTAGAGGGAGAGACCATGTATAAGTAAACACTATGTAGTGAGCTGGGATGCAAACACTATGCCACATGTGCCAGCTCTGAATTCCTCATGTGTGTGGGTTTTAGGGGGAGCATTTGCCCTCCTCGTTTCTCACATTCCCCCATTACATGAAGTAACCATTTTATTACCAGTGGTTCCTGTTTATGTATATCTAGAAGGACATTTGTTGCCCTGGCCGGTTTGGCTCAGCGGATAGAGCGTCGGCCTGCAAACTGAAAGGGCTCGATCCCCAGTGGGGGACTTGCAGGAGGCAGCCGATCCATGATTCTCTCTTATCATGGATGTTTCTGTCTCTCTTTCTCTCCCTCTTCCTTCCTCTCTGGGATCAATAAAAATATATTTTAAAAAATAAATAAATAAAATAAAAGGACATTTGTTTGGCAATTTGTTAGCCATTACTTTATTCTGTACTATTTAAAGAATTAAATATTCATTCATTTAAAACTTTGTATGACTTAAGACAGACATAGGGTACTTCCTTCCCTATCTGTATTCCAACCACTTGTGGAAGATCCCTGTTCGGGAAATTTTTCTTGCGTATTCAAGATAGAGAACCTCTTAGCTCAAAACAGCAAACACTTATAGATCAAGTGTCCTTTTAAGAGGGAGAAAATCATTAACCTGGTCAGAGATGAGAAACAAGCTGAAATAATAAATATATCCCAACTAGACATCCCTCGGTATGCACTCAAGAAAGTGGGATAGTGGAAAGAGTGACTTAACTGGAATAAACACAGTGACGTTACTTAAAACTCAATACACTTAAGGAGAAAATAACAGGCGAGTCCGGACTCCCCCTGCTGCTTTCCTGCGGTCTGTGGACCGTGCAGTGAGGGGCCGCCGGCCTCGAGGGGGGCTGGGGACGCCTGCCAGACTGCAGTTGTAAAGAGAGATGCACACAGCATCATGGATCCACATGGGTGGGGATTCATTTAAAAAAAAAAAAGAAAAGACACGATGTAAAAAAACCCCAACTTTTTATTTATATTGCCAAGTTCCTCTGTTTGTTTTCCAGTGATCTCTGTTGGAGAATATAAATCTGTGGTTCAAGGAGTGTTTGCTGCACACTCTTGTATGAATAATTGGATATCCTATTTAAAATTAGTGGCTGGGGCTACAGGGCCAACTGCTATGTTTTCTAGCTCATGTCTTCCTGGTTAGCTGGGATCGGGGGCAGGCTGAGGAAGGAGACACAGCACTTCTGCATTTAAATATCATTTTAGTTTGGTTCGAGGCAATTATTTTTAAAGCTTTAGGATTTGTAGCACACTCACTCGGTTCTGTTTACGCTCCTTACATTCCCTCCCTTGCGTCTCTGAAAGGATGAGGAGGAGAATATGAGGACCCACTGGGGCACCCTGGGAGTCCTGAACTAGAACCTGAGAACCCTGGATTCCCCACTGCTCTCGGAACAGGGCTCCCTTAGCGGAGTTCATTTGGGGGCAGGGTCAAAAGGGGACTTCAGTTTACCCCTGACCAGCGCCTTTGGTTTCCTTCTCTTCTGCCAAGAGTGTGTGTGATGGGGGATCAAACGGAACCCGGGAGTCCATCCAAGGAAGGAGGGGCATTTGGGAGAACACCCAGGCTCCGGGCACAGGGTCTGTGGGCGGGAGAGCAGGGTGGTGGGAAGAGCACAGGCCTGCCCTGAGGTCATCCCGTCTCTGAGCGGGGACCTTACAAACCTTCAGGCGCCCCCGGGCACAGCACCTGGCCTGCTCCAAGTGGGTTATCCCACTCCTGAGAGTCTGAGCGGTTACCCTAAGGGACCTTAGAGAGTTTTCAGGTGCATCGTTAGAGAAAGGGAGAGAGGAATGTTTCAGCTTTCACATGTGAAAGCAGAAGGAGTTTACAGCTAAATCTGGCGAGAAGAGCAGGTCCTGGACAAAATTCTAAAAAGAATTTACCAAGAGAATGACATTTGAGCACCTAAAAAAAGAGTTAAAATTGCAAATCATAACTGTATGGTCTTGCTGTTTGGCATATATTCCCCCCAAAAGGAGTGAAATGAAGCTCAAAAAAAATATTTGACAGTGTTAGCTGCCAATGACAAAATTCAAGCCTTCAAGTGAAAACGAGAACTTTGGAACATTTGTCTCCTCCACCATGCGCTCCCTGCTTCCCAATACTTACTTACTTCTGATGAGGTCAATGATGACATTAACTTGGGATTCCTTTTTTATGTTATAATGAAATGGGTCAACATTTAGAATAGCTGCATAACTCAATGAACCAGGATTTGCTAGAAGAGTGGGTTACACAATCTCGTGTGGCTAAAACAAGGTGCAAGATAGATGCAAAAGAGTAGAGATATGGTTTCAGATTCCACATTACAGCCAATGTTTAAGAAACTGCCACTTGTCACGTTTGGTATGGTATCAAAGAATATCCACAAGTAACTGAACCATCTATTAAAATACCCCTCCCTTTTCCAATTACATATTTGTATGAGGATGGATTTTCTTCATTTATTTCAACCAAGACATGTCTACTTGAATATGGAAGTAGATAGGAGACAGTAAAAAGATTTGCAAAAATGTGAGACAATGTCACTCTTCTCATCATTGAATGAATTTCTGTTACGAAAAACATATCCATTATTTATAAAAATACTACTTATTTAAACACATAATGGGTTTACTTTTAACTAGTAAATTGATTAAAAATTTGAAAATTTCTCAGTTTTAATTTCTGTGATCAGTAATCAGTAGGTATAATCCACATGTACAAAAGGTCTTTGGGATCCTCAAGAACTTGGAGCATAAAGAGATCCTGAGACCAAAATCATTTGAGAACCATTGATTTAAACAGCACACATCCTATACCAGTGATGGCGAACCTTTTGAGCTTGGCGTGTCAGCATTTTGAAAAACCCTAACTTAACTCTGGTGCCGTGTCACATATAGAAATTTCTTGATCTTTGCAACCATAGTAAAACAAAGACTTATATTTTTGATATTTATTTTATATATTTAAATGCCATTTAACAAAGAAAAATCAACCAAAAAAATGAGTTCGTGTGTCACCTCTGACACGCGTGTCATAGGTTCGCCATCACTGTCCTATACTGTTAATCCATGCATCAAGACACGTATGTATTAATAGAAATTTGAAGAAGATGAGAAATAGCATTTCAGTGGTTCTAACATCTTTCTGCACGCATGACCACTGGGCTCAGATAATTAGCATAAGACTGAATGACTATTCACCTAAAAGTTACTTCAGTAGAAAACCAGGGGTTCAAGAACATTAAGGGAACACCATGGCCAGAGTTCCGCCGACAAAGTTTTTAGTCATTGGCCGGGTGGTTCCACAGAGATTTACATCTGCAGGATGGGGCCAGGCCCAGCAGGCAGACTCAGCAGCTTTGGGGAAATGCCAGCTTGCAGGCAAAGTGAGTGCCTCGCCCCGAAAGTGATGTATACCCTCTGATGGGAATGCACCCAGGACCTGTGAGCCTAAGCTCTTCGCTGGTGCTTTGGTTCTGCAAAGGGACTCATTTCAGAACCTCAGCTGCCTGCACGCAGAGAGCATCTCGGTGCCAGCCTGCCTCTACCCTGTGCCCTGTGCCCTGTGAGCTGCCCTCACCGGGCAGTCAAGCCAGGCCAAGAAGGGCTTCCCACCCCCAAACTGGTTGTGTCTCTGAGCTGTGGCTTGGCTGCTGCTGTTCTAGGGAGTAGACCTGCTGACTCCCAGAGTCTCTCCAAAGCCCTGGATGCAGCCAAACCTGCAGACGGCTGCTTGTTGGGTGCCCCCTGCCTTCAGGTGGACGAGTTCTTGATGTAGATATGCTAAGATGCCTCCTTAAGAAGATGAGTTTTACAGGCTTTGGAGCCATCGTGTCCTTTCAAAATGATCGTGCTGTGCAGGGCTGGGTTGTTTCGAAGTTTAGGCCTCCGGAGGCAGCTGTCTCTGCACATCCTCGTTGAGGGGCCGCCTTGCTGTAACTCCGCAAGCACTGGAAGCATCAGTCTCAGGTCTCGACCCCCCTTCCCTTTGCCTTAGTCAGACCCTCTTCCGCTTTCTATAGTAAGAGCATCCTCAGTGCCATCGCTGCTGTTTAATTGTCTGGTCAGCCTAGCGTTTTATTATGATAAACACGAGCAGACAGTAGGTGGGGAGAGAAACAAATAATTGAGCACCAAAGAAAATTAGGGCGAATTGCTCAGCTTGACACCAGGAATGGGTGGCCAATCAAGTCAGCCATGAGAGAGAGAGAGAGAGAGAGAGAGAGAGAGAGAGAGAGAGAGAGAGAGTGTTTAAAAGCAGAACTGGGCTCAAGCCCCTTTCTCTCTCACTGCTGGGTGCTGGGTGACCTTGGGCAGCGCCTTGCCTACCGGAGCCTCCCTTTACTTCTGTCAAGGTGGATGCGACACAGCTGCCGGCCTAGACTGCTGCCTGCATGGGCAGCCAGCCCTGCTTCACTCCCACCTCTGTCCTCCTCCAAGCTCTTTGCCTCAGACTTGAAGGCTAATTGTTATGCTCTAGTGAACCTAGAATCACCACAAGGAAAGAGTCCAACATTTGGAGGCTGAACGTGACAGAATATATAGAGCTTCTAGACTGAGGTCATGGTGGTACCCTACCCCCACCCACCCAACACACACCATGAAGGGAATTGGTGTCTGCTCTGACTTCCTGAGTATTGTCTGGGAGGTGGGCCCATCTTAATAATTTGGATGAATAGAGTGAGATATTGTTGGATACATTTTACTTAGTGCAGGAATGCATGGTTCCCAATGGTTCTCATATTTTTGTTTTCTCTTTTCAGGGATCAGCAACTTCTGGACCCAACTCTGGAATATGTGAAGGTAGGAAACCAGGATTTAACATGTAATCACGACCCTAAGCAATGGATTTCCCATTTTTTAACACAGTGTTGCCAAATAATGCTACTGTCTGGCTTGTGTGGGAAGCTGACGCGATGGAAACAACCAGAAGATAATTTGACTGTTTTAGGACTTTAATAGACTTTGTAGGGGTCTTACCTCATCCCAGTATAGTCTACAGTCTTTTCTTTTTATCTGAAACTCTTAGGGCCAGGTGTGTTTTAAAATTTAGAATTTTTAAAGAAATGCAATATGGTAGATATATATAAAACACCCCAAAGGGCTCTAGGGTCAGCTCCCCTTTATCAAACTCATGACTTCAGCAGTGAAATGGAAGAATTTCACCCTAAATAGGATAAAGAGATCACAAATGATTTTATGTAGTTCAGGTCATGTTTTGCCACCAAATGAGGTCAGGTTTGTTTGGCAGCCAAATGAATTATTCTTAAAATCCCAATTTTCAGAGAATTTTGGATTTGGGAATGGTGGGTGAGGAATTGTGAACCGTGTTTATCCTCGGCGAGGACTGAAGGCGCCCTGAGGTTTTCTGCGTCGTCCTTTCCTTCTCCACCGCCACCCCCTGTCAGCGGATCTGGAACCGTGAGCTGTGCTCACACCTTACCTTCCAGTGGGGCCGACATTCAGTGCTTACAAGTAGTTAATGCTTCTAGCCAGGGGTGGGCAAACTTTTTGACTCGAGGGCCACAATGGGTTCTTAAACTGGACCGGAGGGCCGGAACAAAAGCATGGATGGAGTGTTTGTGTGAACTAATATAAATTCAAAGCAAACATCATTACATAAAAGGGTACGGTCTTTTTTTTTTTAGTTTTATTCATTTCAAACGGGCTGGATCCGGCCCGCGGGCCGTAGTTTGCCCACGGCTGTAATCTAGACCATGTTTTCCTTCTGAGCAGAAAGAAAGGGGGGCTTTTCACTTCTTCCCTCTGCTTCCCACCCCATTTTTCGGGTGTGTATGTTTGCTTTATTTTATTTTTGAGAACTGTCACTAAATCTGGTACCTACTACAGAAAAGAGAATTCTGATTTGTCACACCTGGTTTCTTTATTTATGACATCACGATTGATTTTTTCTTATAATATTTTTAATTATAATATGAAGGGGGAAAACAGACAATTTCTTAAGAGAAATTAGCAGCTGTGGAAAATTGCTTGGTTCATCTATGTTAAGCCAAATAGAAGCTTATGGAAGAGAGAATTTAAGGAAGCTTATGGAAACGTAGCACAGAGAGAGCACAAAGAAAGATATTAATTTTTAGGAGAAATCATGGCAGGAGTTAGGATTTAAGGAGCTTGCCTCTGAGGAGCCACAGTCATCTCCATTGTTCCCAGAGCAGCATCCCATTTGGGGAGAACTCGGCCTGTTGCTTTTCCGTGGGCCTGTACCTGCCCCAGGGTTTGGCGTGTTGTCCCTTAGACTAGAGGATGGACGGTACAGGCGGGAGCTATAGTGGAACCACGTGGTCACGTGAGGCAGTCATCGTGAAGTGTGTTGGGATGGGTCTGTGTCTGAACGGCAGTGTCCCAGGAGCAAATGTGTAATCCTGAACTGCAGGGCCACTCCGTCGGAATCTGGCCAGAGCTGTCAGTGCTGTGTCTCCCTCCCTCCCGGATGCCTCCCACATGCTCTCCTGCAGGTTGTGCTCTGCAAAGCGTTAGGGGACCCTGCTCACAGGCTGAGATTTGACTTGACCGCAGCCTAAATTGCCCTACAATTATTCACAGCAGCCCTTACGACTCACTCCCTGCCGTGCTTCAGAAATTGGCCGTCTCCACTGCAGGCTCACTCGGGCCGTGCTCAGCAAGCACAGCCCCTCCCCTTACTCCAATAACTCAGCCTTTTCTTTTACAAAAGTCCAAACCTTTTAAGATAATCCAGTGATGAATTCTAAAGCTAAACATAGACTTTTGGTGTGACCTGTTTTAGTGTTATCTAAGCTATGGCATCTGGCCCGTGAATGTCGGTCTTTGTGACTCGAGTCTAGTTGACTGAGGAGGTACTGGGGTTGCCAGGGGCTTCTCTCTAGCGGGGCTCTCCCTGCCTCCCCAGCCATGAGACATGACAGAATGGCTCTGGGTGGCTCCAGGGGGCTCTCCTTTTCAAGGACTTGCTGAGGTGTTCTGAAGGTTGCTCTTCACTCCTAACCGTGTCTGAATCTGGTTGGATAAATGAGGTCTCTCTGACCCTCTTGGATACATCACAGATTTCTCTCTGACTTTGCCCTTGGTGTGGAGGGCTGGCTTGGGATTTGTTCGTTGGGTGAATGTAGCATATTCCCATTTGCTTCTGTGGCCCTGAAGCTCTGAGAGCACATTCCAGGTCTGCGTGGCTCCCTGTGTCAGTCTCCTTGGGCCCTCAGCCCACCCGACCATTTCTCAGGCTTAGTGCCCTCTCGAGCCTTGCCGATCTGTAAGCTGGTGCCTGGAGACTGGAGGGGCTGAAGATGATCGTGAAGGTGAGAGAACTGTGATAAAGTGGGATCCAGGTGGCCTTCCTGACTTTGAGCTGTTTGTTCCCTACACCCCCCTTGTGCACGTCATACCTCCTGGGCATGGAGAGAAGTAGCGATTCTATGAAAAATATGTTACATTCTGTGGGAGCCACCTGGGAACGGTCAGGTTTGTCAGCCTAATGAACAAGAGTCAAGATATCAACTTTTTAGGGACTCGTTGTGACCTCAGAACTGCGTGCGTGGTCGCTGAGTCTCGACCCAGGTGTGGCCAACAGACAGCAATGCTCATCCTGTCGGGAGCTCTGGCCCCAGGTTTCTCTCTGCGTCTCCAAATGCCTCTCTTCTTTCCATTGGAGACTTGCTAAGGGTCTTCACCTGGTTTTCCCAGTGCCCAGACATGGGAGAGCCATCTGGGGCCGCCGTGCCTCCTTGGGTCTGGGGGAGAGGAGGCATTGATGCTGAAGCGTAACAAGTAGGATGATGGGGCTGCTGGTTGTGGCAGGAGAACGCTGGGTAGAGAACGAATCCAAAATGCATTTCTGTGCAGCTTGTACTCTGGGTCCTGCTGGCACTCCCCGCACTTTGCATCGCAGCACACAATGCAGCGGGAAAGGACTGGCCTGGTTGCTAGGCTACCGGTCGCTCCTGTGAATGGAGGGGGATGTGAGGCTGGGAAGCGGCTGTGTGGTGGTTCTTCCACCTCCCGGCTGCTCTCCTGCTGGCGCCCGGCAGCATCAGACCCTCCGGCTGAATTCCATGTCCGATGTGATAAGACCTTGGAGCAGGTCCACAGGAGCTGGCGGTTTAGCAAGCCACTCTCCACGATTTCTCTCTCTTTAATTCTGACCATTAGAGGGGGGAATTTTGTTTCCCCTTTTTTTTTCTTCTTTTTCTACCTTTTCCTTGTTTTCCTAGCCCTCTCCTCTCCCACATTTTTTTTCCTCACAGTAACTCAAAACATGATCGCCTTGCATGTCTGATTTTAACTGTTTTTATAAACACGAGGTCCCTCTCTGTAACATGGTAATTGATTCTCTTCAGCTGAATCTGAAGCCGCTCCTTCCAGGTAAAAAAAACAAAACAAAACAAAACAAAACAAAACAAAACAAAAAACAGAAACCTCCACAGCGGCTCCACCTTCCTCCTGCTCTTTAGTTGTGAGTGACTGGCTAGTGGTGTGCAGCTCAGGAATTTTCCTCTGCGTACCTAGCATACCTTACCCTAGATAAAACTAGCTTCTTCTTTTTTTTTTAAAATGGGGAAATAGCTCTAAGCAAAATTGTGTAGTACAGTTCACCTTCTGGGTTGCTTTCCCTGTTTATTGCTCCCCATTTGGTTTTTGCCACATTTTTACCCCCATCAAAATTTGATAAAATTATTGTACTGAAATGTGAATAAATGGTAATAGCTCAGTGTGTTAGTCTTCCCAGATAGCATTCGAGGAGGAGACTGCAAGTCACACCGCCCCTCAGGGTCCCACGGAGGGGCGCGTGGCCCACACTGTGTTCCCACAGCAGGAGACCTTAGGCCGACCAGCTTCTCTCTGTGGGTTCCATCTTCCTGGCCATGAGCAACCAGGGTGGGCAACATAGTTCGGATCCTCTTTGTGATAGGCTGGAGGGGCAGGTGTTTTAGCCAATGGGAAGGGGTTCTTTATTAACCTGCGGCTCTCGGCCATAAAATTGCCCTATCGAGAGAATGAGGCTGGCATTTCATGTTGAGTCTCAGACCAAGGACCTGACTGATAGCTGCCCACCCATCATGTTACCTCAAAAGACTGGAGGTTGACCCCCAACGCTCCTCCAGTCGCTTTTACTTTGTAAGCCCTTCTTAAACCCGCGAGAGCTACTTTTCGTTTTTACTCTCTGTCCTTCTTTCCCTGGGGCTACAAGCTTCAGGAGCTGCCGTCCTGCTCCACCCCACACTGAATTTTATAAATTTATCTTACTTCCTAGCCCCTCCCCCCTTACACCTATCTTCCTTTCAGGCCAAAGATTCTAAGTGCTTGTAGCTTCTTTATACACAAGACCTACCGGTCGTTTTAATAAAGAGTCTGTTTTCTGGGAGTGGTTTAAAAGTGTATGTTTTGGGGTGGAGGTGATTAACTGGGGCAGAGCTGGAGGATTTTTCTTTTAGAAGAAATGTTTATTATGAAGGAAACTGGAGTGACTTTTTTTTTTTTTTTTTAAATAGCCAGGGCCTAGGCAGCCCATTTTCGTGGCCAGGCTGTGGACAAAGGCCTGCTCTCCAGGCGACTGCCCTTAGCAAGTGTGAGAGGGAATGCAGCCTTTTGTTCCTGGCTGGCTGCCTAGGGAATGAAACCCTGCCTTTTCAGTCAGCCTTGGTGGACTCTCGCTGGAACCACTCCTGTGCTTTTATAAAAAATGATTTTCAGTTTCTGAGAAGGGACAGGACTGGAGCCATTACCCTGGGTGGGACCAGCACCTTTCGATACTCCTTCCCCCAGAGTGGGCGAGAGCAGCACAGGAGCCTGGAGCCGCTTAGAAACCA